GGTGGAGGGAGGGATGGCCTGGAGAGAAACAGAATCAGAGAGATCAGGTCAAACAGGAATGACTTCAGCGAGACTCAGCATTTAGAGTCAAAGTGAGAAAAACAGTCTGGTATAACCCAGCCCTCACACAGATTTCTTTTCTTCTTGTTTTTTAATGAACAACAGCTGAGGGGCAAGAATCTAGTTTCACATTTTTTGAGCCGTTAAATATTTCGCTATCACTTTGGGCAAATGAAAACACACACACACACACACACACACACACACACACACACACACACACACACACACACACACACACACACACACACACACACACACACACACACACACACACACACACACACACACACACACACACACACACACACACACACACACACACACACACACACACACACACACACACACACACACACACACACACACACACACACACACACACACACACACTGATCAAATTAGGATCCAGCTATTGCATTTAGGCTTTGCTGAAACTCTAGCTACAGACAGACACACAAACACACAAACACAGAACCACACACACTTACACACAATTCAACTGACACACAATGTGTTAAAAGCCTCAGGCACAGGCTGATACCTGTATCACACTTGCAGACCTCCCCCTCCTCCTTCTGGGCAAAAAAAAGGGCCTCCTAAAAAGCACTAAATTACATATCACACTAGTTTCTTGATGCTAATGTGCTCCTCTAAACTCCTGGGAGGGAGACAGGCTGGTCTGCCCCACTCAGTGTGGTTATATCGTTACAGCTCAGGCTTATCTTTCAAATAAAGGTTGCATGAAAGAGGTCACCTTTGATTTTGAAGATAATTTTCTTCCATGTTCCAACAAGGTTTGAAGTGTACTTTACTTTGCCAGAAGCCATTACTAATTATTAGCTGTACACTGAGCCACATGAGGCACAGTGTGTGCTAGCACTAGAAAACACCACCAACCACGGTGTGAGGATTTGGAATGAGATGAAAAGAAACTGAAAAGAAAGAAAGGGTAAGAGAGGAGGATAAGAACACACACTGGCTTTCTACATTTGAGGGTTTCTGTTTTTGTCTACTTTTTCAAGTAGAGACAACTTTAAGTTGTTGGCAAGCACTGTGAAGTTGTTAGGTGTGATACAAAGCTGGTTTCTGGCTTATTCAATTTTGAAAAAAAATGTCATATGATTTCAGTAGATTTTGACCAATCTTTTGTATCAAATTATCTTTACCGGTGTCTTGACGTGTAACTGTATTTCCTATTAAGTTGCAGGGAGCCTTTTACAGCTTCAGAAATAGTGTAAACCAGTGTGATAAAGTTAAGTTGCTGGAGGCCATGTTGCTTAAAGACTAAAAAGTCAAAACTCGGGGGATGTTGATTTAGAAGCAAGTGAAGTAAACAGATTTCTGTATTCTGCTGCTCATTTGTGCTTGAAGCTATAACCGCAGAAGACTACTTGAGACGCTACTAGCATACCACACCAAAGTCTCCCGCAACCAGGTTTAACGCAAAGAAATGCAGTGGATGAAAACGATGAAGGGCAACGCTAGAAGTGATTTATTATTTCTGAATCATAAAAGATGTAATGCAGTAGAGAACTCTACTTGAGGGAGACAAAACTGCCAACTTTTTATTCTTTTTTTTCTAACTTTTATTCTGAAAAAAAAGAAACTTTTCCAAATTCTAATTGTAAATGATTTATATCATGTACATAATCAAGCATCTGCAAAATAGGCCACTGCTAATTTTAGGGCACATACAGAGCTATTTCTGCAGACTCTTCAGCTAAAATGAGGCATCAATGCAATGTCTAAATACTTTGATAAGAAACAGTCACATATTCTTTGAAGAAACCTCTGCAACCAAAACATGACCCCAGTTTACATCCAAGCAACAACATTGTTATCTAACCAGGGCACCCTCGACAGGGAGAGCAAACAGATAAATGAGAAGACTCACAGGGACAATAGCAGAGAGGGGGCTGAGATGGATGGGGGGGGGGGGGATGAAACATCTAGTGCTGCTTCAGAGAAAGGGAACAGAGAGACAGAGGGTGAAGAAGGAGAATGTGGGTTCCATGATTGATGTAGAGAGAAAAAGACAGATTGCTAGGGTGATCAAAGGTGTCCAGGATGGAGGAGTAGGAGAAGGCATATTGGGAGGGGGGGGGGGGGGTAATCTGAAAGAAGTAAGAACATTGGATATGGGGATTAATAGAGAGGAAATCAAAAAAAGATTTAAGAACTCACTGACAAGTAGCACTCATGATCATACTTTGAAGTGTCAGCACCTATTACTGGATGAATTTGTTTTTCTGACAGTCTCTTCTTCTGCATTTGACCACACATACGGCAAATGCAATTGAAAAGCTTGTCCGTCTAGACTTGAGAGGAAATTGGTTTAGGAAAACAGGGTGGACAATGAAGTCCTGTCTTCAATTGGTTTCATTTCCCATCAGAGGAGCACTATACTGAGATGAGAGGCAAGTTACCGTTTAGTGTCTTTGGACTTAAATTAATTATTCCACATGTCCCTTCAGGTTCCCACTCAATCTGTCGGAAGCCAATTACAAGGAAACAGAATTTAGAGGAGCTGCTGCCTTAAACACAACAGTTGTGAGATAAGTCACGTAAAGGATCGTTCAAAAAGCACCTTCATCCTCCTCGTGCTCTTTCATGTGGTTAACTGCATTAGCCACAACGCCATAAAGATCAGACTACTTTGAAAAACTTGCGATTCACTTATTGTGCAGGATGTGCCTTTGTATTCTGAATTAGCATCCACCTGCTTAAATAAAAAGTCTTTTCAGAGTGTTCAACAACCTTAAACACAATGACAAAGTCACAAAACCTCCAAATCAATGACCCAGATGGAGGACAACAGACTGAGGTCAATGATCAACCAAACACAAACCAGGGTTTCAGTGTGTGTGGTAGCTTTTCACACTCAACATATTTGTGTTTTCAATCCAGGAACAGCAGTGATGCAAAACTGCAAAAAACTATTTTCATTTTCTCTGCTCACTTGTAGCTAAAAAGGGCTTTAAGATGTTTTCCCTAAATCACCAAAGACTGAAACAAAACAAACAAACATCCGTTTCACAGAGAATGTCAGACAAATTACGTTGCTCTGTGCAAACTTCTCCACAAGTCGGATTATGCAATTATTGTCATTTTCTCCGGTGCCTTCCACGAAAGAAACTAATCAATTCAAAAACAGCTACCAAAGTGTGTGCAGATGCAATTATACTCACATAACACGTCTCTTTAACTGTTTAATATATTCTCTCTTCCCTCTGCTGGACTCCACTGCTTTGCAGGGCCAATGGCTCTCGTGGGACACTGTGGGAGATCCAGCAGACAGATGCCCATCAGATAGGATCCAGCAGACCTGTGCGTGCAGAGAAAGACTGTGTGTACCCACACTCAGGGTTCTTCCTCACTTTATGCTCCTGCCTTTGCTACACAGGCAGTGAGGGAGGGTGTGTGTGTGTGTAGAGGGGGGGGGTCTTTTATGGCCTCTATCTATTGCAAATAGCACAGCCTCCCCCTCCTTCCCATCCCCACCTCCTCTTCCCAGCAGCCTAACAATGCTACACCTCCTCTGAACAGCCTGCTCATTCCTCGAGTCACAAAACTATCCACATGTAACATTTTCATGATGTGGTGGACAAGGTGACTGCCCACAGCACTGCACACCGACTGTTGACTCCACCATCAGGCCACCTCTGCCTCCCTGTAACCACCGAGGCATGCAGACACATTCACAAGGAACAAGCTCGCAACAGAACCACATGCAGTGGTCCCCATCTTTTTACTTATTCGGCTGAATTATGCAGTTTCTTCTGAGCATAACTACTTATTGATTTGTTCGCCATCCTGTGTATGGCAAAGTGGAGAACTTATAATCAAACCACAAGATTGATTCTCTCTCATGAGCCCTCTCTTTATAGGCTGAGAAAATAGATATAATTTAAAAGTCCAAACTTTCTGCCAGCTCCTCCACAGTGTGAAAATGTTTTCTGGGTCAACACTGTTTCTCTTTGGTAGTGCCAGCCCTTTTTCAGGTTTTGTATCTGGTGACTGCTCAGCGGCTGTAAAGGAGAACCCCCTCATATAAGGCCATAGGTGAATGAAGCCAGAGCTGCTGGTCTTATTTTGGAGGTCACAAGGTCAATGGTCTGTGTGATGACCACCACCTGGATGTGTGGAGGTGCTGCTGAACATTACACATTTTATTGCCCTATTCATCAAGGCTGCTGGTGCTGCAACGGGTTTAAAGCCTGACACGGCAAGAAGAATGACTTTTGTTCAAGTTTTTCGGTGTGTGTGTGTGTGTGTGTGTGTGTGTGTGTGTGTGTGTGTGTGTGTGTGTGTGTGTGTGTGTGTTTTTGAGAATGAGGTGCGATGTAAACCAAGTGAAGAATGTGTTTAACATGAAGAAAGAAATCACTTATGACAACTTAAGCAAAAGGATTTTACAATTTTTGGAGTTGGTGGCCACCCGAGTAAGAAATGTTTGGATGGAAGTAACTCCTACTTTAAGTCTATTTGTTATGACATTGGAAGTAGAGTGATAACAATAGTTTAGGCACAAATCAGGACATTGAATGATGTTTTCAATTCTGCCAATAACCCCATTTATTTTTATTTTTTGCAGATTTCAGAAAGCGTGATGCGCACAGTCAAGAAGTGTGTTCAGATAGTCTACGCGGTAAGCCACAATGTAAACGTGGTCAGGATCCGGACAGCAACGTTACACCTTCTGTGAGCCTCCCAGCAGCCCGTGGCCCGCGTCCAGAACAGCCGCGGTTGCTTCACTAACACACCGAGACTTATGGACGCCAAGCCACAGATACAGATACAGACATACACACAGACAGCTGTAAATATCCGCTGCAATAATATTACAGCGGCTTCTTTTTTTTTCAGGAGTAAGGTGCGCACGGGGAAGAAAGGAAACGCGCGAGGGAATAAAAAAAAAAGAGTTTGTCGGTACTCACCTAAAAGACACGAAGAGGTGAGCTTTGACAGCAGTCCAAACTTTTAGTAGAAGTCTTTAAAAGACGAAGCAGGGTTGAGTTTATCCCTGAACAACACACGTCCACTGAATAATAATCCAAACGGGGCTGTTGAGCGTTTGTTTCGCTCTGGGAACGACCTCTGTCAAAACTACAAGAAACAACTAATGATCCGACACGGCTGAATGCCCCGGCTGATAGGAGACCTTCAGGCGGACTTTTACTTGACTCTCTCCGGTTAAATAGTTTAAAAAACTTGCCGACAATGAGGTGAACTGTAAAAAAATAAAAACCGTGAGTCCGGGGTCTCCTTGCTTCAAACCCTCTCACTCTCTGAGTCTACGCTGCACCAACAAATCCTCAGTCCGGGCTCCACAGCCGGGCCAGCAGGCGCCACCAGGTGCTCATTTACATAACTGCACCGGCTGTGTCCAATCACAGCGCAAAGCAAGGTGTCTGATTGAATATTCCAGCAGGCACATCATCCAATCAGAGCCCCCTGTGGGCGGGACCTCTGACCTTAACTACTCTGTAGAGAGATATTAAATGTGAAGCCTTTGAGTGAAATGTGAAGTTTCTTTGTTACAGCAAGGCTGAGATATGGGGAATGTGATACTTGATACAACAGCACAGAGTGGTTTCAACATTTAACCCTGTGTGTGTGGGGAAATGTTGCTCTTTTTGGATCCTGAGATAAAATAAACTTGTAAAATCTTTGAATAAATCTGCTCATCCTCTCAGCATCTGGGCTAAGACTTTTAATGTCGACCCTCAGCACTCTTCCTTGCTATTTACCTCTAAAGAAAACTTTATTACAGAGTACTGTTGGTGTAACTGTATGCCATTACTGCCCCGTGGGCTATAATGATTCAGATTGAAGGGTTTGCAGTAAAAAAAAAAAAAAAAAACAGCGATGGAGCTAGAACCAGCAGAGTTGTTGATATGAGCCCCTAAGGCAAGGAAGAAGCCAGATGGGAATTCATGTTTTAAAAGAGCAACATGTGTGTGTGTGTTTATGCTGGATTTCATGAAAAGTCAGGCTGAAACAAAAAGGCGGTGCAGGAGTTACAGTATGTGTTGGTACATGCCGGAGAGGAGGGAAACTTTAGCAGGCACTCAATCAGCAGCCATGGACAATAAGGTCATTTAACAGTGTGCTCCACCTTGAATAAACAGGGAAGAGGAACACTGATAAACTCTCGGCTGCCCAATGTTCACTTTCTTGTGTGTAGATTTAAAGTTTGTGTTTGTGGACGCAGTATGTCATCAAAGCATGTAGTTGAATGACTTTTGTTTTTTTACTCAAACAGAGCAAAAGCAAGTAAATCAATAAAAAAGATTGCTAAAAAAAACCTGTACATCTTAGAGGGAACTAGTCACACTTCTACATAAATATTTCAGCTAAGGTCTTGGTTGTGTTTTCAAAATAGTAAAAGTTATATTTTTTAAATAGCCTACCAAATCATTAAATTAAGAAGTAAATAGTTAAATACAGCTCTTGTTATGAAACCATTCATAGCTAAAATATGTACAATGTGTGTGTCTTAGTGTTTGTTTCTAGTGTGTGTGTAACCATATAACTATAAAAATGTTTAAGAAAATCAAATAACTGTTCTTTATGATTTATTCAGGCGGCCTTTACTGCAGCCCAGCCCCTTGCACTTCCCCCTATTCCTCACCCCTTTACCCTCCCTCCCTCCCTCTCCCTCTCTTCACTCTCTCTGCACATTTCCTTGTGTTTATAAAGACTTCAGCTGGACTTTCATTTGGCCTGGCCTCATTTCTTTCTGCATATCATTAACATTCTCTCACCACTTTTCAATTCAGAGCTCGACCAAACCCAAATACACACTCTCTCTCTTTTTCATTGTGTTTAATGGTTAAGCTTCCCTCTCTCCTTCAGCCCTCTGCATTGGAAAGAGAATCTTGTGCACAGAGCTTTTTTCCTGCTTTAGCTGCAATGTGATCATGATTTATTCATGTTTATCTCTGTTTGGACTCTGTTTCATGAAGGCATTGCATTTTTCGTTAAAATTTATTTTCCAATTTTGCAAAGGAAATTAAGGACACGCTGATGAATTTAGGCTGAAATTGAATGGGTGATGAAGAAATCATTAGGGATATGTGAGAGTTATTATCCCTGACATTCAATGACAAAATGTTAACTGATCCACAGAAATGATCCTGCTGATAAGCACAGTAATTTTCAGCTCTTGTTCTCTCACTCTCCAGAGATTTTCCTTTCTCTTTTCAGCCTTTTCTGTAGTGCACATCGTCCAACCAGCTCTGCTTTGTTCGTTGTCGGGGCAACTGCAAATCCCCTGGCAGAAATAATGACCTTTTTCAGTATTATTTCCTTTCTACCCCACGCCTCCTCTCTTCTATTTCTTTTGTGTCTCACTTTCTCTTCACCCTGATCCTTTTTCATATTTTATTTTCTGCCAAAATATCCTTAGTACATCCATAGAGTTTTGGTTTGTTGTTACTGACACTGCTCGCTCTCTTCTCCCTCCTCCCTCTCTACTTATTCTTGCTTTGAGTGAAAACCAGTGGAGCATAAAAAGCAGGTCTGATCCTGTGAGGAATTCACTCGGAGACAGAGACTAACACAGAAAGAGAGAAGTTCAAGTTGTGTCGGATTTACTGTATGAGTCAGCAAGTACAAGAAAGCACTTGGTTTGAGGAGTGATCAAGAGAAACGTACCAAAATGCCAACAGTCTGTCACAAATAAGACAGGGGGTTTCAACAAAGAGAAAAGTGTGTTTAAAAGTTAAAATAAAGTGTTAATTTGTCTGAAGAGGTTATTTCATTCAGCAGAATATTACAATTTTAATCAGAAGCTTTTTCAGTAGGGATGACATATGATCTATTGCCTTGTCACTTTGGATATGTAGCTTGAATTCATCACCTCTCTGAAATCACTGTAGTAAAAAAAAAAAAAACATCTGAATTTCAGATGGAAGTGTTCAACTCAAAGGCATGGGACAACAAACACACACACACACACACACACACACAGGCGGCTTTTCCACCCCCTGTCATGGGCTGACAGCTGTGCAGGCCTGCAGGATTCAGACAACACAGATCAGTTGCAGAATGCGAAGCTTGCAGCATGTTGGGAACCAGCATAAAACCACATACCAAGCATACTAGCCCCTGAAACATCTCTGCCACTGTCTTTTTCACTGCCAAAATCCAAAAACAATAAATACCTCCGATTTGTGAAAGTCAACAAGACCCCTAAAGGGCCCCTTAAGCTCCTTTTGCCACAAACCTTCTTAACCGCATGCATGTGTGACTTGAGGTCCAGGTTTGGTTTGAACATACATGTATGCATGTGTGAAAGTGTGTATTTGTCTGTCAGTTTAATGTCTGCTTACTGTCTGAGCTCTTTCAGTATCAGTATCTAAGGCACAGGGCAGGTTGTGTATGACTGGCCCCAAGAGAGGATCTTGGAGCGGGTGGAGGTGTCTGGGGTCACCAGGTCATCGTCTGCCCCAAGGGGGAGGTCTCTGGTTGGGGGTCGGGATGGGCGTCACAGCCCTGGAGCTTTCCTTTTAGGTGTTCAGTGAAGGAAACATTCATGTCAGTCCCTCCACAGAGCTCTGTGACTTTTCTGTCGTCTCTCGTCGTCCCTGTTGTTTCCCTACTTTTGGATTCAAGATTTTGATGTATTCTCTCCACAAGATTTAAGTCCACAGAAATAGAAGCAGCTCTGTGTTGCTGTATTTAGGCACAACATCTCTATCTCTACTGAACATTTTAACTTGAAGCTGACAGGGATGTCTGAGTAGATTTGCTGATATTTAAACAAAGGGGTTGTTCTGGCAGACCGTCAACCTCAAGGAGCCTAAGAGAGCTCAAGAGCTCCCAGGAAAGTAGGTGGTTAGTGACTGAGATTTACAGATAGATACATGCAGTAATATGATGTACTGTATATGCACAGAGAGAGAGAGAGAGAGAGAGAGAGAGAGAGAGAGAGAGAGAAAGAGAGAGAGAGAGAGGGGAGCTCTCAGTTCAGAGTTCGGAGTGCCAGTTCCCCCGGTAGTCTGAGCCTATAGCACCATAACTAGGAGCTGGTCTACACCAGCACCAGCCCTACCTATAAGATTTATCAAAAAGGAAAAGTTTTAAGTCTATTCTTAAAAATACAGAGTGTGTCTGCCTCACGGACCCCGGCTGGAAGACGATTCCAGAGGAGAGGAGCCCGATAACTGAAGGCTTTACCTCCCATAGTACATTTAGAGACTGTAGGTACCACTAGTAGGCCTGCATTCTGGGACCGTAATGTTCTTGAGGGACAGTACGGCACTGGTAGCTCCTTAAGATAAGATGGTGCCTGGCCATTTAGAGCTTTGTAAGTGAGAAGAAGGATCTTGAATTCTATTCTAGACTGTATAGGGAGCCAGTGCAGAGAAGCCAACACAGGAGTAATGTGGTTCCTTTTCCTAGTTCTAGTCAGTACACGAGCTGCAGCGTTCTGGACTAGTTGAAGATATTTTTTTAGCATAACAAAACACCAACATAGCAAAAAAATCTGATTGTTGTCTTTCAAAGAGTTTTTTTTTAAATCACTAGATCCTCACTTCAGTTTCATAAAAACATTGTTCAGCACAGCTCCTCTCTCCTCCTCCTCCTCCTCCAGGTGTGTGGAGTGTTGTGCAGCCCGGGTCCAGATCCTACAGGTCCTATGGTCCACAGACTGAGTTCACTGTTGGTCTGCTATCACTCTGAAAGTCACTCTCCAACCCCGACAACAAATCCACTGCTCTGGTAAGTCTCTAAAGACTCTTCAACTAGTCCAGAACGCTGCAGCTCGTGTACTGACTAGAACTAGGAAAAGGAACCACATTACTCCTGTGTTGGCTTCTCTGCACTGGCTCCCTATACAATCTAGAATAGAATTCATGCTAGTATATTCAAACAATTACAATAATCCAACCTGGAGGTAACGAATGCATGAACTAGTTTTTCTGCATCATTTTGCAACAGGATATTCCTGATCTTAGATATATTACGAAGGTGAAAATAGGCTGTTCTTGAAATTTGCCTGATGTGAGAGCTAAAGGACATATCTTGATCAAATAGAACTCCTAGATTCCTAACAGTGGTGCTAGATGCCAGGCTGATGTCATTAAGGACAGTGAAATCACTAGAAAAAGTCTCTCTGAGGTTTTTAGGGCCTAGCACAATAACTTCAGTCTTGTCTGAGTTAAGTAGCAAAATATTTCTGGTCATCCAGGTCCTAACGTCCTTAAGGCACGTTTCTAGCTTACATAACTGACTGGTGCCATCGGGCTTCATTGATACATAAAGCTGAGTATCATCTGCATAACAATGAAAATGTATGGAGTGTTTCCTCATAATATTT